GGTGGGGCGAATCTAAAAATAGCGTCTCGAGCCGGACACTGTGCGTATACGTGGAAAAAACCCGTGTTTAGTGAAAGTTCGGCTCTGGCGAGGCACCGCGTATACGTGAAATCGCGCTAAGCGGGGCATTACTGTATACTGTTTTCTCCCAAACATTTCTCTGGTAGGGAGGGAAGGTGCGGGGTGGGGGTAGGGAGGAGACTGGCGATCATTAGGAAGAGAGGCTGGGGGTGGGGAATATTTTGATTGACAGATACTGTCTGGGTTACGTATATTTTTTTTATTTAGTGAAGATATTTGTTTTAGCTCATAAAATTCATACAAATTACTCGGCCAGAATATAATTTACATTGCTGGAATTCTTACAATTTGATTATCATTTTGAATATAAACATCATAGATTTTGCATTAGACATACAAATTTTAGATCTAATGTAAGTATTTTGTTTACTCAGAGCAAATATGTTATCGTTTGTGCAAAATATATGACATGTATATTCAAAATATTCCTGGTCTTGCAAGTAATCCAGCAATGTCAATTATATTATCCTAACCTTAGTTTGAGGTATTATTTATTACTATACTATTGGGGGGGGGGGGGCACGGACGTATATGCGACCAGACGTTGTTCGGTTGGACGTTAACCCGCGCATGACTGTATATATATAGAGTGATTTAAGGGTGATTTAGGGGATTTGTAGGAGTGTGTCTGACTTTATGCATTTTTTGGCTTTACTTTGTTTGTACTTTTGTGTGAGTTGGAACCAATTACCCAATATCCCAATGTAATAATAAATTCAGTTAATGAAATTTTCAGTTAACAACGACTCTGTGTCCTCCTAATATTATGTATTTAAGTAATTATGAGATGTTTTAATTGCCTGTATGTTGGCCTGGTGAATTAATGCTAAGCATTTACATACCTAGGTATAAAGCTAGACGTCGCATTCTGGATTGAAAAAAAATATCCCCATCCCTGGAATTTTCCGGATACTGGAAAATGCATCTGATTTCCATCTCTCCGGAAAATTACGGATTTGGAAACGAATTTCTAAGAAAATTTCAATTCCGGCTATCCGGTTCAGAGTGATTCTAGCTAACGGATATATTACTACAACACAACAACATTATTAACCAAATTTAACTAATTTTGTTTTAAAAGAAAGAATTGCTGTAAGATGCAGCTTCTTAACTCTGTATATGAGGCTCAGTAAAATTGCCTGTCATTAGCCAATAAAATATTAAAAGGGACATCCCCATAGTTAAGGGAGACTTATTGCTGACTACAGTATATAAATCACAGTTTATTAGCTTACAATATCTGAAATTATTTTTAGAAAAATTCACCCAGCACTGTGTCTCATTAAAAGTTAACTCCTTTGAAAAACACACAAAAGTACTCCTCAACTTGCTGTTTAAAGGGTATAGGTTCAAAATTTTCAAATTGAGTAATTACTTTTATACCTTTACTTTTATCCTCTGCTTGTTATTTAGTGTTGAAATAATACAATGATTTAATACAGCTAAACCTCGACAAACAATATCTTGTTCAGCGATATTCTGCTTTAACACTGGTCATGAATTAAGACCATTAACTTATATTTTTCTACCTCAAGTCGGTAACATTTTATAAGGAAACGGTATTTAACCCTCTGCACCGACATTGGTAACGCATCTTTGGTTGCACTTGTCAGATGCAGTAATACCTACAAACACGCCACAACACGGCCAACCCATGCACTCCGGTCCTGCGCTTGGTTCTTTATCAATCACGTCTTCCCGCCATCACGTAGTGCCACGAATATCTTTCAGCATTGTTGGCTGTATGTACGTAAATTCTTCTTCTTCTTCTTCTTCTTCTTCTTCTTCTTCTTCTTCTTCTTCTTCTTCTTCTTCTTCTTCTATTCTTCTTCTTCTTCTTCTTCTTCTTCTTCTTCTTCTTCTTCTTCTTCTTCTTCTTCTTCTTCTTCTTCTTCTTCTTCTTCTTCTTCTTCTTCTTCTTCTTCTTCTTCTTCTTCTTCTTCCTTCTTCTTCTTCTTCTTCTTCTTCTTCTTCCTTCTTCTTCTTCTTCCTTCTTCTTGCTCTTCTTCTTCTTCTTCTTCTTCTTCTTCTTCTTCTTCTTCTTCTTCTTCAATATTCTTCTTCTTTGTTCTTCTTCTTCTTCTTCTTCTTCTTCTTCTTCTTCTTCTTCTTCTTCTTCTTCTTCTTCTTCTTCTTCTTCTTCTTCTTCTTCTTCTTCTTCTTCTTCTTCTTCTTCTTCTTCTTCTTCTTCTTCTTCTTCTTCTTCTTCTTCTTGGCCTTCGTCTTCTTCTTCTTTCTGTTTCTTCTTCTTCTTCTTCCTTCTTCTTCTTCTTCTTCTTCTTCTTCTTCTTCTTCTTCTTCTTCTTTTTTCTGTTTCTTCTTCTTCTTCTTCTTCTTCTTCTTCTTCTTCTTCTTCTTCTTCTTCTTCTTCTTCTTTTTTCTGTTTCTTCTTCTTCTTCCTTCTGTTTCTTCGTCTTCTTCTTCTTTCTGTTTCTTCTCCTTCTTCTTCTTCCGTCTGTTTCTTCTCCTTCTTTATCTGTTTCCTCTTCTTCTTCTTCTTCTTCTTCTTCTTCTTCTTCTTCTTCTTCTTCTTCTTCTTCTTCTTCTTCTTCTTCTTCTTCTTCTTCTTCTTCTTCTTCTTCTTCTTCTTCTTCTTCTTCTTCTTCTTCTTCTTCTTCTTCTTCTTCTTCTTCTTCTTCTTCTTCTTCTTCTTCTTATTATTACTATTCTTTCTGTTTCTTCGTCTTCTTCTTCTTTCTGTTTCTTCTTCTTCTTCTTCCTTCTTCTTCTTCTTCTTCTTCTTCTTCTTCTTCTTCTTCTTCTTCTTTTTTCTGTTTCTTCTTCTTCTTCTTCTTCTTCTTCTTCTTCTTCTTCTTCTTCTTCTTCTTCTTCTTCTTTTTTCTGTTTCTTCTTCTTCTTCCTTCTGTTTCTTCGTCTTCTTCTTCTTTCTGTTTCTTCTCCTTCTTCTTCTTCCGTCTGTTTCTTCTCCTTCTTTATCTGTTTCCTCTTCTTCTTCTTCTTCTTCTTCTTCTTCTTCTTTTCTTCTTCTTCTTCTTCTTCTTCTTATTCCTTCTTCTTCTTCCTTCTTCTTCTTCTTCTTCTTCTTCTTCTTCTTCTTCTTCTTCTTCTTCTTCTTCTTCTTCCTTCTTTCTTCTTCTTCTTCTTCTTCTTCTTCTTCTTCTTCTTCTTCTTCTTCTTCTTCTTCTTCTTCTTCTTCTTCTTCTTCTTCTTCTTCTTCTTCTTCTTCTTCTTCTTCTTCTTCTTCTTCTTCTTCTTCTTCTTCTTCTTCTTCTTCTTCTTCTTCTTCTTCTTCTTCTTCTTCTTCTTCTTCTTCTTCTTCTTCTTCTTCTTCTTCTTCTTCTTCTTCTTCTTCTTCTTCTTCTTCTTCTTCTTCTTCTTCTTCTTCTTCTTCTTCTTCTTCTTCTTCTTCTTCTTCTTCTTCTTCTTCTTCTTCTTCTTCTTCTTCTTCTTCTTCTTCTTCTTCTTCTTCTTCTTCTTCTTCAACTTCTTCTTCTTCTTCTTCTTCTTCTATTAACCTTCTTCTTCTTCTTCTTCTTCTTCTTCTTCTTCTTCTTCTTCTTCTTCTTCTTCTTCTTCAACTTCTTCTTCTTCTTCTTCTTCTTCTTCTTCTTCTTCTTCTTCTTCTTCTTCAGCTTCTTCTTCTTCTTCTTCTTCTTCTTAACTATTTAATAACCTTTATTTCTTCTTTTATTTAATACAACTATTTCTTCTTCCTTCTTCTTCTATTCTTTATTTATTTATTCTTCTTCTTCTTCTTCTTCTTCTTCTTCTTCTTCTTCTTCTTCTTCTTCTTCTTCTTCTTCTTCTTCTTCTTCTTCTTCTTCCTTCTTCTTCTTCAATAGCTATTCTTCTTCTTCTTCAGCCTAACTTCTTCTTCTTCATATTGTTATTATTCTTCAACTATTCTTCTTCAACCTTCTTCTTCTTCTTCTTCTTCTTCTTCTTCTTCTTTATTACTTCGCCTTCTATTATTCTTCTTCTCGTTTTTTTTATTTGTTATTTGTATATTATATTTTTTGTACATTCAAATTAGCTTCGCCCTCTGTTGTTGTGAAAATGATGTGAGTGGTGTCAGTCGCTATCATCGTTTTTAATTATCATCGTTTGCTGTTTTTGTGACAAGTACTTTTTCTCTGTTTTTGTGACTGTGAAATGAGCAGTGTAACTTTGAAAATGTCTGGGAAGGCCAGGGCATCCAAGACAACTGTGTCTCTGAGGTGAAACTTGACACTGTGAAATGGCATGAGACTGCTCAGAGGCTCTGTGGGGGTCAGGGTGATGTCTCCACTCCACCTACAAAAGTCCCCTTAGCCTCGAAGGGGATATTTGATGATGACCAGACTTATTCTTCATGATGTGGTGAGTGTTGTTCAACCCTTTCACAGCGGGAGGTTACCCTAAGCCGAATAAAATTGTCTGGTGGTAGCCAGAATAAAATAGCAAGAGTTAATTGTTTTCTATTGATTTTATAAGTGTAGGAATATTTTTGTCGGTGATACATTTGTGTTTGGGGGACTGCCTGGGAACGTATTTCATTGAACCCCTTGTTATAATGATCCCTATCTACAATATTTCACTTTGCAATGGGTTCTCAGGAACCTAACCCCATTGTTTATCAAAGTTTTCCTGCACTCCAAGAATGCATTCCCTTAAGTTTTGGATAATGCTTTTATATGTTTTATGATTGATAGAGACAGACTCAGCCATTTAAAAAAAACTGACCTAATACTATGGTGTTTGAACAAAATGGAAAAAAAAATGGTAAATTGATAGTAATATTCAAGGGTTATTTCCAATTTTAGAATATTTGGAAATTACATTTTTGGACCCAGTTCCTTGGAGTTAAGTTTTGAATGACCAGTGATTTTTGTATTATTAATGTCTGATAATTTATTAAATGTTAATCAACAAATTTTACCTGATTAGATTTATTTTTCTTTTCTTTCTATTAATTGCAGGGCCAGCAGTCGACTGGTGGGCCCTGGGAGTTTGCCTTTTTGAGTTCATGACTGGTGTCCCACCATTCAATGATGAAACTCCCGAGGCAGTGTTTCATAACATTCTCCATCGAGGTAACACCTTAATTTTTGGCTCTTCTGCATAGAGTACACAAGACTTTATATGATACCCCATGTGTCATAGTTGCCGTCAACATACTGTACGTTACTTTTTTAATGTCCTGAATTTCTTAAGCAATAATATTTTTTGCTTCCCCTTCTCCAATTCACTTTTTATTTAATCTATACCATCATACACAGTACGTGTGAAGATGTCTTTGCAGGGTTGTACCCAGGCAGATTTTAGTGGTTAATAGTAATGGTACAATACTTATTATAGTTACAGTACTATACTATATTATATTCTGAAGGGGCATGCTGGAGTAAAGAGACTTGATAGCCTATTTAAGAATTGTAAACATACACAAATAAGGTTTTCTTCTTTACTGTAGTTGTTCTACTGTGAGAAAGGAAAACAAAAATCCTATATCATTTTTCTGATCCCCTTTATCAACTGCAGATATTCCTTGGCCTGAGGGTGATGAGGCATTATCTGAAGCTGCTATTGAAACTGTGGACAGGCTCTTGGCTTATGACCCAAAACTGCGTGCAGATTTTGAAGCCATCAAGCACAGCTCTTTGTTTTCTTGCATCAATTGGGCCAACCTGATGGATATCCAAGCTCCTTTTGTGCCTCAGCCAGATGATGCAATGGACACCACCTATTTTGAAGGTAAGACTTTTTCCTGGTGGTTTAATTTATTGTACTTACAGTTAGAATGAATTTAATTAGGAAGTCTTATTGGATGTTGACGGTTGCTTAAGCCAAATATTCATAATGGACAGTGTTTAAAATAATTTGGATGAAGAGATATACAGGTTGACAACCCTTTATCTGAAATTCCGAAAACCGAAAAGCTCTGAAAACCGAAAGGTTTTTTTTTTGTGGAGCAAAACTTTTTTTTTTTTTTTTTTTGACAGAATTAGCCCACCCAGGCATAGCTCACTTGACCCACATCAGGACCTGGGGGCGAAAATGTAATGTTAATACAATAAAAGTCCAAAAATCCGGATGCCAGAAATCCGGACCAGCCCGAGAATCCGGACTTTTCGAAAACTCACTTTTTTTTTTTAGCTGGCTTTTGTGTGTATGTGCGCATGCGTGAGTGCCACAGCCGCACAGCGACAACAAGCAACCACGCGGTCGCCACTTTAAAACGAGCAATCAAACTGTGACAACGTATGTAATTTTGAGTCCTACTCTTTCCATTTACAGAGTACTGTACAGGCCCATAATAATGGCTCCTAAAGTAGATAAACTTCGTTGTGTGAAGAGAAAGAAGAACACGTTGAAATTGAGTGACAAATTTGAAATAATTAAGAAACTAGAACGTGGTGTGAGCAATACTGTTCTAATGGAAACATACGACATTGGAAAGTCTACAATTTATGATATAAAAAAGGCAAAGAATAAAATTCTAGAATTCACAGCTTTTTCTTTAAAACTGCTCGTTTTGATAAATGAAGCATGCTATATTTGCTAATGAATAAACTATCAAAATGTACCTGTTCATCTCTTCTTTATTCCTCCTTAAATTTGAATTTTAAAAGTACTGCCTGAGAATCCGGAAAATCCGAAAATCCGGACCGACCCAATCCCCAAGCAGTGCGGATTTCTGGACTTCTACTGTAACATCTTTACAGACTCCCAGTTTGGATTTAGAGGTAGAAGGTCAACTGAGAGTGCTCTGCTCTCCTTAACTAATGACAAATTCCTTTGATGACAGTCAGTTCACAGTCGGTATATTCTTGGACCTCTCTAAAGCCTTCGATACTGTCGACCATACCATCCTCCTTTCAAAGCTTGAACATTTCGGCTTTAGGGGCCTGTCCCACAATTGGTTTACTTCATATCTGTCCAACAGGTTGCAGTATGTCTGCTATAATAACCACCAATCTGACTCCTCGCCAATCTTGTATGGAGTCCCCCAAGGTTCCATTCTCGGTCCAGTACTGTTTTTGTTGTACATTAACGACACAGTCCACGCCAGCTCACTCATAAAATACAACTTATTTGCAGACGATAGTAATCTGTATGCCAGCAACTCAGACCTCCATTCCTTGATGAGAACTATGAACACTGAATTAACTAAAGTCGGGACCTGGGTAATATGTAATAAACTGACCTTAAACCTTGAGAAAACCCACTACACGATCTTTCACAGAAGGAAAAACTTACCCCCAGACTTGGACCCCCTGTACCTTGGTAATATAGTCTTCAAACGCGAACAAAATATTAAATTCCTCGGAGTTATTGTTGATGAGAAACTTAAGTGGAGAAACCACTTACCGTATACAGGTAGTTCTGCTATAACGCGATAGTAGTGTTCTTGTAAAACATCGTGTTATAGAAATTCGTGTAATAGAAATAACAGGGCTTATGGAGAAAATAGGGTTAGGTGCAGATTACTCCAAATCGAAAAAAAATTTCGTAGTTAGCCTAACACAAAGGATAGTACAGTCTAAATAAATGTTACATTCATATCTAATAATGAAATCATACAGTAAATGTTACACTTTACCTTGAAAAAATATGAATATAACTTGATGGGGGATAAGGGTGATGTTGAGGCTGAGGAGTCTGAAACATCAAGCTTTTCTTCAAGTGTTATAGCCTTTCTTTTACAATCACCACCGGAAATGCGATCACCAGAGTGCTTCCCAGAGATATTCTTCTTTTCCATAGTCACAAAAGTGGAGAAACAGTAATCAGAATTCACTGAGGACACTTAAAAACTTCACGTGTTTCAAACAAAGTGTGGAGTAAACAGAGCGCGCGGGTCTAAAACGCTATGTATTTTGTTTTTCTCTTAGTTAAAATTTTACATTTTACATATACTGAACAAGTATACTGTATACATAAATATTACATAAATTATTTCTGCAATTCTTCACAAACAAAACACATAAATCAATTGAACAAGTGATGTCGAACGTGAACTGTAAACACTACGCCCGCACCAAGCTGAAAATGTACGAGTACACTTTAAGCGCTACTTATTTTGTTTTTCTCTCTTATTTAGGGTACACAATTTACATACTGTACAGGTATTTCTTCACAAACAAAACACATAAATCAATTGAACAAGTGATGTCGAGCGTGAACTGTAAACATTGAGCCAAGCCACAACACTGTACAGTACCTTTACTTACTTTAACGCTCATTATTTAGTTTTCTCTTTTATTTAAATTTTTGTTACACACACACACACACACACGCCTATATATATATATATATATATATATATATATATATATATATATATATATATATATATATATATATATATATATATATATATATATATATTATATTATATATTCATAATATTATGCTAGGCATACAAAGCTTATAAGCATTTAAGTCCCCCAGTAGAGATGTCGTTCTCTATCACTCCAGGATGTCCGTTTTTGTGTATGCTAGCTCAGGGACTCAAGCTGTTCTGTATATCACCCAAGATGATAAGGGAATTTGAATTTATTTATTTTATTTATATATAATATACTGTAATATATTAAATATACTGCAAATATTTTTCTTTTACTAATTTATATCGTGTTTAGCGAAGGCTACATTTGTAATTTGGTCGCTAAGGACCAAACTCCGAATCCATGACGTGACTTCTGTTCATTATTTATATCCTAAATTTACCACTGTAGGTAGTTTCAAGAATTAATGCAGTCATTTACTGAATATTCTTTGCAAAAAAATTAATTTTAAATGAATTATTTATAAGAGATAGGTATTATGATCAGTAAATATACAGATATGCATTACTGACCACCTCCGAACACAAGGACGGCTAAAAATAGCCACAGGCGGTCACAGTCAAGGTCACTTTCCCTTTCTTGTCACTGGCAAATGGGGGGGTGGTGATAATAGCAGCTGTGTTTATTACGGTATGTTAGACTGGTTTATAATACATTTTTATTATTTTAATATACCGGTAATCTTCATTTTAATCCAGCTTCCCAAACGTAAGTTTCAGTATAAAATAATTAGTGGTACTGTAGGACCTTGTGAGTGGTTTACTGTATACATAAATATTACATAAATTATTTCTGCAATTCTTCACAAACAAAACACATAAATCAATTGAATATGTGATGTCGAACGTGAACTGAAGCTTACTGTGTGTGATGTAGAAGGCGGGTGTATATGTAATTTGATTTTTCTCTTTTATGTAAAATTTTACAATTTACTTATAATATATAGGTATACTGTATACATAAATATTACATACATTATTTCTGCAATTGTTCGACAAAACCGCCTGCTCAATTGAACATGTGATGTGAGCGTGAACTGAAGCCACAACTTAACCCGTTAGTGGAATCGCGTTAGAAACAGCGAGTTGGCGTTTTACAAATATCGTTCCTCAATTCATAAATGGCGTTGAGCAAATTGGCGTTGTCAAAACACGCGTTATAGCAGAACTCACCAGTATACCCGTGTGTAGTTCGAGTTTTTAAGACCAAATTTTTTGCCAAAAAATTGGGGGTCGGCCTCTACACGAGTAATAGTTTCGTTAGGTTGAAAAATATTTACCAGTTACTGCCAGTAAATAATAGAAACGATGCACCACCAGCTGTGAGTGTTGGTACAGTTGCCAGGGCAGATCTCTTCCATCGTCATAGCAAGGCCAAAGTGGCCAAATGCATGGTATGGTAGAACAGGACGATGTAAAACATAAAGTATTCATTATTAAAAGTTTATTTATAGATACATCAATTTTTTTCATTAAATTTGAAACATCAATCTTTGTTAATTAAATTTGAAACAAACGAAAACTATGCTACCGTGTTTCTGAATATTTTCATTAAAATATTACATCACAAGTATATTTTACCTTAACTGTGCCTGAATGAATATATTCTCAAAAATAAATATGGAAATGTAATATTTTTGCCGAAATTACGTACGTATTACAGTGGAAAGTGGGACAAAATCGTGATGAAAAAAATTACTCGCTTTCTTTCGTAGTTCAAAAGATATTACCGTAATCACTTTTCAAGTGGTTTTCAGTTAAAAAACTGTTGTATTACAATAATATTCTATCCTAATTCACTTGAATAAATACGACGATACCATATTTCTGAATATTTTCATTATAATCCATCAAAATCATTTTCCTTGTCATCGTCTTCAGCACACAGTTGCCAGTTTCAAGATTTTCCGTTTAAAATTTTAAGTTACCGAGTATTTCTTTTCCCAAATCGTTTTACAATACTGTAGGTTGGGACCGGTGGTAGAAGCGGTACCATTCTTGCCTCGCAAGCGAGATGTCACAGGTTCGATTCCCGGGCCGGTGGAAGTTGTTTGGACTTACTTCCTTGCCCCCATTAGTCCCTGTTCACCTAGCAGTAAAGTAGGTACCTGTTGTAAGTCGAAAGTTGCAAATTCGTGTTCAGGGAGTTGTTGGAGCTTCCAATAACTTGATGACATAAACCACTGACTCTTCAGGCTTCTACGCCCTTAACTCATGAGACGTAAAGGCAAGCATGAACTTAGCATGCTTCCCTGTTGGGCGCTGTAAACGCTTCTGCGCCTCACCTTACACAAGGATGTAGGGGAGTGCCAAATAAAAAAAAAAAATTTTTTTTAAAATACTGTAGGTAAAACAGTTTACTATTGTGCAAACCCCACAGAAAAAAAATAACAGAAATGGAGAC